GCATTATCTTAGCACTGAGAATTCCTGAGAGCCTCCATAACAGCTATGTATGGCTATGTAAGTATGTATAATTCCGAATTTATATAATGTTCATCATTACAGAGTGACATTCCTTTAGGAAGAAAAAGATAAAAGAGAAAGCTGATATGCTTTTCTTCAAGATGGGTTACATCAATTGGTTTATTTCATTTATCTGCATTAGGCATTCTCAAATTCCAACAACTGTATAATTCCTTCAGTCACAGAAATTGTTGTTGGCTATGAACAGAAGAGACAAAGTATTTCTTCAGTCTAAATTACAGTCATTTCTCATAAAAAATCTGATGGTTATAAAATAATTCATAAAGATCAACACAGATTTTGACAATAGTGGGTTCATTGAACTAAGTGGGCATTTAGATATAATGAAAAAAAGCAAAGTGTTTGGTGTTTGACTTGCCAAATTGCTTACTCATAATTTTTTATATCTGTAAAAGAATCCAAGGTATTATCTGGTTTTGCATTTAGGTGAGCTTTCTGCAAAGTTCTTCCTATATACAAATCTTCTTTTATATATTTATCTATATGTCCTATTTTTAATGCAGAAGGTTTTGTATTGAAAATTTTATAGAAGATATTTGAATATGATGCTTTATATTTCTTCACCCTGACCCTGCAGGGAAAATTTCAGTAAGATGAGTCAATGTGATATACCCTTTGAGTTGGCTTTATTATTTTTATTCTTTTGTTTATTCTGATGCCATAGTGATTAAGATTCCAGGCAATGAACTATGACAGTGTATCACTAGACTGCCAGTCAATCAGATCAGCATCAGTTCAAACATTATTTAAGAATATCTACTTTTTTATTATTTATATAGCTTCATAGTTCATGGTGCTTCATATAACAAATAAAAGACAGATTTCCTGCCCCCTAAGAGCTTACAGTCTAGGCAAATACAAGAACAACATGAGGAGGTAACACAGGCAGGGAGCAGAGATGGGTAACAAATGAAGAGAGGGACAATTAGATTACAGTCACATGAAAAGCTAGTGCTTTTGTCTTGGTAGATACAAACTGGGGAGATGAGGTGCTTGAATAACTTTAATTTTAATTAGAAGTACATTTTATAGGAAAGCCTGGTGAAAAAAAGATACTGAAAATAAATTAAAACGTGTCAGAAAGCAGAGTAGCAAACCTGGGAGTGAATCTGAGGCTGGAAAGTAATGATGCTATCTTGGATATCAGATTAGTTAACCACATTCACCCCTTCACTTCCTATATATCTTTGAAAATAGGACAAAAAGCATAACTGCTCATGTATACCTGAAGGCAGACTGGTTTCATATTTTCCCTTTACTATTTATATCAGTACACATTGAATGAGCACGTTTGGGAATACACTGGGTGAAATCTTGACTTCTCTGAAATAGGAGTTTTGACATTGCTTTCAAGGGGGACAATATTTTGCTCATTGTATTGTGTAACTTGTATTGAGCATTTGTACACTCTAGTGTACTTGGAAATTAAGTTGTGTCTAAAGTACTTGGAATCATTTTTCTAACTTCCTTAGTATTATTATAATAGTGCAAAAATGATTTGATAGCATTATCTTTTACCTCTTTGTATGCCAGTATCTCTGTTCATGGTAATCTCTTTTTCTTGGTAATATCTTGATTTTGTAAA